GAGAGAGAGAGAGAGAGAGAGATGTTGAACCCATGACCACTGCAGCTAGGACTCAGCCTTGGTAAATGGGGTGCCAGATCCACCAGGTGAGCTACCAGGATGCCCCACTGTTACACATTGATTTACAAATCTTTTATAGAAACCTAAAACTCTTACAGTCAGTAAATGAATCACTACCACAAAATACATAGTCCTTGTGGTGTCTAAAGGGTTATAAATTCAAATTATATTTTGTCAACATATGCGGTGTCAGTAGTTCATGAGGTCATTATTTTACTCATTTAATCATTAATCTACCTTTAGGATGAACTACTATCAACAGTTAAAGGATAAATGTTACAGTTGTTTTCAATAATTAACAGTTATTTTCCTGTCCACAAAACTCAAATACAGATATTTTTAAAACAGACAGAATATCTTCAGAGGTACAAACATACAGTTTGAGAGAAAAAGCTTGAACATTAGATTCCCAACATTCAGACATTATTTGACTGGTTACAAAAAAACAGAGTTGAAGAGCCCTCCCACCTGATGAAAACACAGTCAGAGCTGAGTGCTTCCATTACAACCCACCCTCCTTTAAAACCGTTTGATTCATCTGTTGGTTTAAGAATGAATAGATCAGATAAAGAAATACATGTAACATACCCAGTCCCCTCAGAGAGTCAAAGAAAAACAGATCGCACAGGACTGAAACAGCAGCAAGAGACAGTGAAACCAGAGATAAACTCAAATTAACTCCAGAGTTTCTACCCTGTTCAACCTCATGTTCCACTGAGTACAGACAATTGTTTTATTTGTGTTTTTTTAGAACAACCAGACTAAAGGATGTTTTATTATTATTAATAATAAAACATTATTTATTTTCAGGAGTCTACAATGCTGTGCAGTGATGGACTTCAGGACCTGCAGTGTTTTAATGTGTCTAATAAAGTCTTTTGAAGGTATTTCCACACAAAACACTCCAATAACACATTGATGTGTTTGTGACCAAAAAATCACTGACATCGTAATCATTCACATCAAAAACTAATTTATTCATTACTGTCAATGAAAGAAATTCACTATGCAATTATACAGTCATACATAAGCTTAATGGTAATGCTAATGACAATTATAATTCTGATAATTATTTGTAGCAGGTAGAATTTGAGGCTCCAGTGGTCGATTGTCTTTGTTTTTGATGCAGTTTTATTAAATGTTTTCTTACTTTTAGAAAGTAAAAATGAATCCATTCAGTCTGATGACATGTATTATAACTATACTACTGTTTCTTGTTTGTTCTTTAGTTTGCGTTGCAGAGCAGTCAGAGTTGATTTGTTCACATCAACCAATCGTAGCCCTGGCTGGTGATGATGTCATTCTACCATGTTACCTTGATCCTCCAATCAGTGCCAGTTCTGAGACAGTGGTGTGGACCAGACCTGGTTTAGACCCAAAGTACATCCATGTTCACCATAATGGACGACTGGTGTACGAAACTCAAAATCCATCTTATTTCCTCCGAACGAGACTGTTTGTGGATGAACTGCAGAATGGAAACGTCTCCATGAAAATCTTCAAAGTGAAAATCTCTGATGCAGGAAAATACTTTTGCTTCCTTCGATCAATGTTGAAGAAAGCTTCCATCCAACTCACTGTTGGTAAGTCAGACTTTCTGAAGATGATGAATTACACATTTCTGCTGACTGCAAAGATCAGTAATGTAACTTTATATTAGAAGTAAGCAGCCATGATAAGACACAAAGAAAACAGTGCTGTAAGTTATTTGTTGGATCTGAATCCACTGTTTGAAATTCCTCCTCTCTTCTCATCAGGTGTCGTCTCCACTCCCATCATAGAGATTGTCTCCAATAACAACAGCAGTAAGGTTTTACAGTGTGAGTCTAAAGGCTGGTATCCAGAGCCTGAGGTGGTCTGGCTGGACGGTGAGGGAAACCTCCTCTCTGCTGGACCTACAGAGACAGTCAGAGGTCCTGATGACCTCTATACTGTCAGCAGCAGAGTGACTGTGGAGAAGAGACACAGCAACAACTTCACCTGTAGAGTCCAACAGAAGGACATCAACCAGACCAGAGAGACACACATCTATGTTCCAGGTTATAAAGAGCTCTAAATATATTAAACATATTGTCACTGTTGAGCTCTAGTTTGATTCAATAATGTCATTCTGTTCTCTCTTCTATCTTTTCAGATTATTTATTCACAGTTCAGTTGTCTTCTGATTGGATTCGGATCATCATCATTCCTGTTTGCATTATTGCTCTGCTCATTATCACCCTAATAATATGTAAGTCACATATTTATTTTCCTTTTTTATACCAAGTTCCTGTCAGAGCTCTTTATTGACATACATACAGGCATAACAACAGTAACTAAGCAAACAGTCTGAAATGATCTTCACTGCAGGAAATTTGGGGAAAATGGAGGAAATAAAAGAAAATGTGTTGCTTTCAAAAGCTTTCTCTCATTTGGAAATGTTCTGTTTATGAAAGTCACT